CATTTCCTACGTTGGCTCTCATGCAGGACACTGTATTGCAAACAACCTACTGCATGTTACACTGCTTGGCTGAATGAGTGTGAGGTATTCTACTGTATTTTATTAATGGCTTGTCCTGTGCGGTCCCTTTGTTTTACTATGTATGTGAGGTCCATGACCTTTGTGCCAATATGTAAATGTATCACTACATTTATTATGAAATTGTTAATTATGTATGTTTCTATTATACAGCATGTCTTCACAAGTGGGGCGCCCTGGTAAGCTTATGGTTACTACATCACTGCGACGTTCGATTCCCATGTTTGCACACTCTCTGTCCTCCGTTAAAAACTGATTTTTCAGATATGATTACGTGTGATTATGACATCCCACCATGTCAAGAGTCCAATCCGTTCCATTCGGGAATAACATTTACATACAGACCCAACAAGTGCGGAAAATCAAAAGGCACCCAACCTTGCTCTTAAACCAGTTGCTGCTAAATCAGCCAGTATTTTTACTGTAATGGCAAATACACTCAATCTGATTCTTATGTACATAACTGTTTAACATAATATGGCAAATGTCTTCATTAAATGATGCAAATCTGTTTGGTACATTAGTGAAGGATGTAACATATTAGTCAGTGTTGCAGTGGATTTACACGTGGATGAAATGTGGTCTTTTTATCTACAATAACCGCACAGACTAAATCTGACATGTCTGTAATTGTAATCTTGTGCAGGAGTGTTTGTGTGTGTAGGTGTTTCTTTATATATACCTCACAGAGGCAGTAACAGAGTGTGTAAGTGACTGCAGCCTTCTGTCTTAATGGTAAATCTTTGTTGGACCACAGTGCAGACAGGTCTTGTCTCTAGTAATGACTAGCAGTCTACGACTCTGTGGGCCACAGAGATCCTTACAGTTAGCTACCTGTCTGCTACACTAATTGGACATGCTCCCCACATGCACGCAAGAACAGACACATACAGAGTAAAGTAGATACAACAAACCCACATGAAAGTAGGTCTTTACCACAAACTGTCAGCAGTTACTTCATGGTGAATCCTCACACAGGCATCCACCTGAGGTTCACTAAGGTTTGGTCTTTGCTAACACTTTGAGTGTAGCAAGGTTTTTTAAAGAGGATTAATGGATTTTTAGATCTTAAAGTGAGCTCAGCTGCAATGTTGTGGGTCTCTTAGGTGAGGTATTTTGGAGAAATATGGGTAGTCTGGTACCCCAAGGCAAGACCAATGGATGAACTTCTCCAAAATGCCCCATGTAGTTGAGCAAGGCAAGTGGAAATAGCACTAGATAACATTTTACCACTAACTATGTCCCCACTCAAGGATAATATTTTAGAGCGTGTGACCTGTGCAGTGTGGGAAAATATCCCCGGGCGCTTCTTTCTTGTTGCCCTGCTATCAACAAAGTACCCTTCTCAGGTGTGAGAAGCACCTTTTAGCTTCAACATTTGCACTCAAACTCCCAGAATCACAGCTAGGAAATAGCAGTCAAAGTGGGACTACTGTAACTGACAATAAACTGGAAATGACATATAATGGTTGTGTCTTATAACTAATCGAGAGCACTGTACCTGATTTATGTCTCCCCAAACGGGGTTATGGGGCTGTGTGATTTTCCTACATTCCCTCCACCAGCTAGCCGTGGTTGCTTTTATAAGATTTTAAACCCTGGTGCTGGAAAATAGCCTATAAAGAGATCAGCACCTTCGTACCTATATGGTATAGTCTTACACATCAGACAGAACCCTGTATTGTGATGATGCTTTCTTTTTCAACACACTTCTTCACCCTTAAATTATCTTTACATATTTCCAGGAATATTGCAAGTCCTGACTCTTACACTACTTAGTACACATTAGTACCTATAATTCTGTCATTTAAGCCTATTGTGTGCCTAAGCCAGGTGCAACAGTACAACCAACACAATGCAGAAGAGGAAAGAATCCAAATGAGACACTGAAACAGGAAATAATTATAATATTTCACCTGACTTTATGCTCACTCTAACTACTATTCTTTCTATATATAGAAGTTCCAAGAAAGAGAGCATGAGGACAATAAATGAAGGCAGACAAAGTAACAACCACGGGCAGAGAAATAATAAGCGAATGAGATTATTGAATGAAATCATTTTAGAATTCATAGGCAGAAGTGGAGACAGACACTGATACAAAGACAGAAGAAAAAGACATACTGTAGCTACATAACGTGTTAGACTGTGCTGCAGCCCCCCCACTGCTCCCCCTCCCTTCAGCAGTGGGTAAATAGAATAATTACTGGGTGGTCAGTGTAGTGTGAAATGACAGCGTGACCACGGCACAATGAAACGCTGCCCAAATGCTGACAGAACATGATGAGCACATGGCTGCCTGAATACAAAGTGTGCCTGTGTGTGTGGCAGAGATAGAAAAAGGGAGTGAAAGTTTGTGTGCACAAAAACGTGTGTGTCTGTGTGTGTGTGTGTGCATGCGCACGTTAAAAAAATAATGAACAACACATTGTAGCGGGACAAAATGCTCTTCTTTCGGCAAACTCGCGCAGAACTGATCTTCTAACCTCTTCCACGCAGCAATGGACAATAGCAAATCCTTGCTAATGTAATCATTTGGACAAAATTTTGGACTGGAATTGAGTGCTGTTAAATTCAATGGACCAGGTGCATGAAGATGGCAGTGTTGCGGATGAGGTTACTGCCCATCATGTAGTGCAAAGCTAGCAACAAGACCAAGCATCTACTTTTTCCTCTTGCTGTTTCCAGGAATGCACCAGACTGTGTGCTACTAGACCACACTACTGACTTAATGCTAACGTGCATACATTTGCTGCTAGGAAAGCTATATTTTATATTTGTATGGCAGTGGAAATAATGGAGGGGGGGAGGTGCCGTGTAACTAAAGCTTTTGACAGATTTGAAGGTACAGCATGTTAATCCACAAAGCCTAATCATTCAAAGTAACAAACTAATGTTGCAAAACTGTAAACTGACACTAATGGTGACTTTCTGTCACTTTTCACCTTGTTAGGAAATGACAGATATATTCAGATGTTAGTGATACTGTAGAGAGTTTGTTTAGAATTTAATTACGACTCTGCACTGCTACCCACATCAACAAACCCTATAATGACTCGAGCCACAAATTTACTCTACCTTCATTATCCAATGGAAAGGTCTCAGACTAATTAAGTACATGTGTAATCTCTGTATACTGAGTACACACTGCAGGTTAAGTGGAGGAAGGAAAAAGTAATTTCATCAATCACAGTTAATCTTCTCAGATATTGCTACTGAATTTAAAACTTCCTAATTAAACCAATACTAAATCATTACTGTTCAGCAGCTCTGTGTGTTGTGTTCCAGGTGGATCTCATGAGGCCTGGATGCATTTAACACTGCTGGCAGCAGAGGGAAAATAGGTGGCTCCGACATTATGACTTTTACAGGTTTTGTCTAGGAGGTGTTTCATTGAAGTTCAGGTTTTAATGGTGCACAGTAAGACATGGGTGCAAGGCTTTATGTGTTGATGAAAACCAAAATGTGAGGAATGAGCATGTGAGAATAGCAGTTGAAAATGAAAGATCTGAATTAACTATCTTTCATCAGTTTTGCGATAATCACTGTCATGCATGCGTAAAAAGGGGAAATAGAGCGGCTTCCTGCCTAAATTGGATTCACAGAGCTCTTTGGCTCGCTCTCCTTTCAAAAACAGGGTGAGAATGGGTGTTATAAAGGGGCGTAAATTGGCAAGGCCCACACACTGCGGCAGTGCCAGTGTGGCGGTGGTTCAGTGTTGAATGAAACTGACATGCTTTTTGACAGCAGGTGAGGTTTTGAACTCGACCATCCCAGAGGATCACCTCTGCTTTTCGTGAAATCCTGCTGTTTCTGTTTTTCTACCAGTAGAATGGGGTCACGTAAGAGGCCAAGTCGTCAAGCTGGTAGTGGCTACAATTATATCATTATAGAGAAAAAGAAAGGTGATGATGTTAATGTCAAAATAATATCACTCACTGGACAGAGAATGGATCAAGTTTTATACATATCTATACATGAAATCTAGCAAAGAATTCATATTCCAAAGCAGCTAATCAGCTTTACACAACACAAGTGGTCTCTGTGTTGTCTACTATAAATTAAATTTAATACATTTCAGTTTTTTCCATGTCTAATAAGTAAGTAAAGCAAGATAATTATAAAGAAAGCAGTTGACTTCAACAAAAACAGAGCGTTAGAGATCTGTTTACTTTATGTATCAGGCTATTGTAGTGTAATTTTCTGTGTTCATGTTCAGATGGGTCAAATTATAGTGCACTTAGTAGGAACACCTGGGTTGATATAGACAAAAGTGCTGCCTTAATAATTGTTGCAGCAGTATCGAGATATTGTTTTATTATGTATGCTATGAGAAAATTACATCACATGTTTGAAATACTTGTTTCAGTAGACCAAAATCCTTAAAAAAAATCATATATATTTGAACTCTCATGCTGTGACAGGTGTCAGAAGGTTTTCACTTATTGTTCATTTTAAGAGGAGAATAGTGATATACTAATATTGGAATTTTGTCACAAAACTATTAAATGGGAAATGAGAAGTGATAATAGTAAATTATCACCCAGCCTCACCACCGTATGTGTGGAAAACAACGTTTTGACTGTCAGCTACAGGAGGTGTGGGGTTCACATTAACAGCATACTGACATTGCAAACAGCCTTCACACTCAGGTCTCTGCCCACATCTGCTTTCTGACAACTGTTGTGTGGACATCCTGCTAGTCAGAACTGGTTTCTCTTTGTAATCCACTGTGCTGAGGGTTTTTTCTAATTTGCCACATGATGTCAGCCTTACATTTATACATAATGGATTATTTACAGGTGTACTCAGCAAACAGCGTTAGCCTGTGATAGGCTAGTAAAAACATAACAATGTAATGAGTATACTGAATGGTTCATTCCACAGAAACTGGTGTTGCAAAGCTAATTCACAGTATTTACCGGATGTGAGCCTCAGCTTTAGTAGCTGCCTGGTTGTACTGGTCAGCCGTCTGCTTGTAGTTGTCAAGATTCTGGCAGAGGACAGAAAGAGGGAAAGAAAAAGAAAGGTGAGCATCAATTCAGGGGTATTTTACAGCTCTGCAGAAGTTGCACATCATTTCAAAACAAGACGGACTGTGTGAAAGTCCTCCAATCAAGCCTCATGAATTTATATTTAAACAATTAACTATTAACTAAATATTTTATATTTTTTAAATATTTTATATAGATTCAATTCAAGCTCTAAGCGATGATAAGCAAAATGTTTAAAACACCATTGGAAATGTCACATTTGTTAAATTAGTGACCTTTGAATTTACATTGCTGCTTACAAATCTGAATGCTGATGGCCTGTTGGTACTCCATAATGTTTTATTTCATGCCGGGAAAAGTGGCATTTAAACAGCAATTACAGCAAAGATGGAGCCTGTGCCTAGAGGACAAGGTCATATAGGGCACACCTCTACTGGAGTAATCAGCGGTCACAGTGTTAACTACTCTGCATCGCGGTCAGAGCTGACTAGAAAGCAGTCAAGAGTATAAGAAGTTTAAGAAAATGAATAAGTGTGCAGCATTACCAGCCACAGCACTGAGAATATGTTTAAAATCATCAGCTTTGTCACATGAATGATCACCTTACAGGTTTTGTGTCAAAACATATGAAATACCGTTTGTCTGGAATGCCTCAAACACAAGGAAAATCTCTCTCGCACACATTCACTGCGCAGTAATCACCATTTTAAACCAATAACCACAGTGCTCACGCTTTTACTTAATTATTCCCCATATTCCCAATAGAAGGGGTGATAGGAGAGGAAGATAATTGAAGTGACTAAAGACAGGGAAAGAGATGGGATCAAACACAAACCTCCTCCACAATCCCTAGCCCTCTACTCCTCCAGTGCCCCCCAGTCATTTTCATATCTCATTATTTCACGCTGATCCGCAGACATGCTTCTCCTGATCTGAATGTGTGGTGTTGGAAGAGACTCAAGTAATGTCATAGGCATATTTTTTCTTAATCCTATCTGCTAGTATTCACTTCAATGTAATAATCTGCCCCTCTATCCTTTTATTTCCTGTTCTTTAAGGAGAAGACAGTAAAATGTAAGTCATAAGTCTAGTATGAAGGAAGGGAGTAGTGATAGACCAATAAATCGCTTGGCCGATTAATCTGGCCAATTACGTGGCATATTGCGATAATTGGCATTGGTGGATGTCTGTGCTCACGAGGCCGATGAACAAAAAATTTCTTCAGACACATCTGCAGGCAGCCTTGTGCCAGTCAGTGTGCCAGCTGTGGCGTGATGTTAGCGCTCCCCCTCTTTTTGGGAAGGTGGTGAAAAAGTTGGTTCTGTACTATAACTCTCCTGCTCCAAACATATGCCTGAATTTTCTATAGAATAGAACAGAATTATACATGACTTTTCTTTCTTTTGAAGATCGGCCATTAAAAAACGTATATTTGTCGAGCAGAGGGTTAAATTTTTAGTTGTCACAGTAATACGCAATGTGGAAATGCCAAACATCCCAGGTGTAAGACTTTATCCCTTCCTGTTATGTTTCCTAGATGTGTTATAGTTCATTTTCTAGGACAGGACTCAGGATTGGCTCCTGATGCTGCTAAACATCCGCATTCCTAATATGTGGACTAGGTTTAAATACCACACCTCAACAGGGGGGTAACGACTGCAGCTGCAAAGCAAGTCAAGCATACTTCACACAGCATTTTATATCAAATAAAAGACAGTTCCATTACAAATAAATAAATAAAATTTCAAGTGCTAGAAACCAAGCTCTCTTCTCTTCTTGTTGGAGGAGAGTTAGTTAATACTTTGGCTGGCTCCCTGGGAATAAGTGGTAAGATGTTAGCCACATGTTAGCGACTTTAGCCTTTAGCCTAAGGTCAGGGGCTCAGTGGGTACACTCAACAGAGGAAAGCTAAGCTGAAACTTGAAAGTCTGTAGTTGCCTTGTGGGATATCCAGTGTTCGAGCCAAGATAAAAAAAAAGCACCACATGGGCTTAAACCCATGGGTGCCTCAGATTATGCAGGACATAGAGAGTAGGGCTCCAGCAAGGGAAGCAGCAAGCAAATGGTTTAAAGTCAACTTCGCACTGAAGACTGGTGTGTCCTACTAAGGCAGTAGTTAATACAGTGCCTCCCACTTGGAAGAAGATAAACAAATGAATACATTTAGCAACGTAGCTGCTATAACTGCTTGGCGGTGGATGTAAGACGCAGTCAGCGCTATTGGCTACGGTCCCTAGCTTCCTGTACGGGAAATACATAAATATGATTTGTGTTTCATGTGGACCTTAAGGGAGCTACAGTGTGGACCCTTTTTCATGTTTTCAAATGTTTAATTGGTCAAATTGCCATCACTGTTTGAAATCGGTGGTTTGCAAAATTTTGCCCTTGTTGCCTAGTTTGGTAAAACATTGCCTCATACGTAAAATACATTCTCTCTGCAAAGTCCCACAAACTTCATCAACAAACAATCATGTGCTCTGGAGAGTTTCTCAGGAATCTCACCATTTTGGAGCCTCTTTTAAGTGGTTACCAGTTCACATTCCCCTAACGTCTCTCTCACACACTAACTGTCAAACAACTCTATGCTTTTTTTCCCATGGAAATGTACAAAATGGGTCGTTTTTTAATGGTCATGGAACGATGTACCAGAGAATACTGATACAATTATCACGTCTCTGGCCTTGCTAATAAAACAGGGGGACGTGAGGAAAATGAGGAGAGTGGAAGTGTGAAGGTAGGGTTTGGACTGGGAGGTACAGCTTATCCAGTCGAAATGTCAGGGGACCGCGAGGCTGTGTGTTGTTTTTGTGTCTATTGACAGAACAGACCCAGAGCAACAGCCCCAGCTCAGCTCTCGTAACACCAGAGAAGTGGCAACACTATCACTGGCACACACACTCCGAGCTCTTCCCAGTCATTTGCACCCTTGGGGACAAAAGCCCAATGTGGAGAAACAGAAAAGGGGGATGATAACCCTCAATGGGGGGAAAAGGTTTTTGGGGGTGTTGGAAAGACTCATGGAGAGGATTAGTGAGGGTGCATGTGTGTGTGTGTGTGTGTAAGCGTGTATACATGCAGGTGTGTGACTAAATCTGTGTTTGCACGGGAATGCTTGTGTTCCGATGATCCTTGCATACACACTCGTCTGAACACCCTCCAGCAGCTGTGGATTGAGATGGGCTGATGTCAGGGATTTTGAGGGAGGGGTTGTTTCACGCTCCGCGCTTGGACGAAGGCGGATTAATTTTTTCAAGGGGGGGGATTAAAAGAGGTGAATTTTAAACTGAGACTTGTTTACAGAGTCACAGGGTTATGTTGCCACAGGGAGACAGATATACTCCACCTGTACACTGGGAAGAGATTAGGGAGGCATCCATAAATAAACGAGAGGGAGAGGGAGAGGAAGAGGATTGGGAGGGAGGATGTACTGGTATGTTTGGGGGGGGGGGTGTTTCAGTCTTGAGATGTCTTTTAGTGTGTGAACCTGTATGTGTGTGAGAGAGGGGAAATGCGATGTTGCGCAGTAGATTGGCCACTCTATCACAATTACTTCTGAAGTGACAACATACACACAAACCTGTCACAATAAACACACACACACACACACACACACACACACACACAGGCTATTTTCTCTTTTGTGTCAGTAGTGGACACCATCCACAGCCTTTAGACAAACACCATAGTGTTATCATCATTCATCCCTTAGGCAAACTGGACACCAGAGTGTGTTTGTGTGTGTTTTCATACAAATAATCACACACACACACACAAACACACACAGTTATTAGCCTATTAGAAAAGGGCTGCTGCTAAGCCAGAGTAAAATGTTGATTCAGGGGAAGATCACACACCAATTATCAGTGGATTCTCCTTCTAATCTAGATGCTCTTACCATTTCTGCCTCAGACTATTAAAACATCCAAACAGTGCAATTACATGAGTCTGAGTGTCTACTTGTGCATGTACTGTACGTATGGAAAAACTCAGACTTCAGAGATTATTTGAAGAATAAAAGCACGTCCTGGTTAAATAAAGGTTAAATAAAATAAATAATATTCATTCTTAGACAACGGCAATCATCATCTGTTTTGCATTAACAGGTTCTAAAACAATACTGATAGTGAGGAAGGCCGGAGCAATGTAAGTCTTCAAATGCTTGGATCAGAATCTATGTGAACAGTGGGACATATTACTCTTTCAAATTGTGTTTTGCATTTATGTATATGACCTGTGTCACTCACAATTCAACTTTTAAGAGGCCATTTATTTCAGCCCGAATGGTATTTGCCACAGGTATGAGAGAGTGAGAGGAAGAAAAATAGGCAGGGCAAAGGAAAGGGGGCATGAAAGGAGGTCTGGATGAATAGAGTGCCAGATTGGAAAATGAAGGAAGAGAAGGAGGGAGATGGACACTGGCTCATGGCGCCGGCTCAGGATAGACTCTCTGTTTAATGCACAGTCCATATAGCCTCTTTATCTCTCGCTCTCAGTCCCCCTCTTTCTCACTCCCTCATCCACATGCAGGTCAGCTGCGAGGAAGTGAGGGGTGAAAAAAAGCGATAGAAAAAGCAACTGCAGCGGCGAGCGGAGAAAGATAGAGCATCCTCCACTCTTCTGCCAATCAGTCTCTTCCGTCAAGCATTGCGGCGTGTGCTGCTTGCCGCACGGTGTGCAAGGGGCCCTTCCATTTAACTTGGCTATGTAAAAGGTTTTCTCAGAGGCCTAAAGGAGGCGAGTGCCAGGGACTAGATAAGGTCCCCCCCGTCTGCCTGATGGGCCCCGCCAGACGGAAGGAGAGACAGGGGAAAGGGGTGGAGGGGGAGTCAAGTCCCAAAGAGTGTCTACTCAATACTGGAGGGAGGGTTGTGTGAGTGAGGGGAGAGACACAGGATAGGCCACGGGAGAGGGAAAGGTGTGAGAGTAAGTAGCATGTAATCTCATTGTCATAAAAATGAAAATATTTGCTCTACTATTTTATCAGTGTGCTTGTCATTTGTGTTTTCCTGATTCTTTTCTTCCTTTCTTTACTTCATTTGCACTCTGTAATTTTACACTCCTGCCTCTTGTCCTTCCTTCTAGCCTCTGCCCATCCTCAAGAGCGTAAAGCAGTTTTTCCTGCCGTAAAATCATATACCTGTACCAACCTTGTTCTTCACAAAGTAATTCAACTAATCTGCCCAAGTTTACTCTGTAAGCAAGCAGCATTTATCAAACCACTGTGCTTTTGGCTTTTACAGGGTGCAAAATATCAACGGCGCATTAGTGGAGGAAACACAGGTCATAATTTCTTAAAAGCACCAAACAAACGGCTTTTATTTTTTCTATTTTTTGAAAAGACCACAGGGTTGCTGGCAAAAGGACATAGTGATGAGAAAAGCACAGTACATTTGATTAGAGAACTGAAGCTCTTTGAGTGAGACGGCGCTGTAAAACCTCTTCTGAGTGCTGGTCCATCAACAGCGAGTCGTGACTCTCATCTGTCTGCTGAAACTTTCAATTCATTTACATTTACATTTTGACGCCGGTATGTGGGCTTGACATTTCCAAGATAGAGAAGAGTGTCTTGTGTCTCAACGAGATTTTAGTCTCCAGGGAGATTGAGTAACATGTCACTTTAAGACTTGTTTTGATATTCCTGATGCGTAAAGGCTCCTTTTCAGTGAAAGCCTACAGGATGTTTTTATCTCATTAGTGAAGTCTCCGGTTATACGTGTCAATTTTTGCAACAATGGAACCGTCATTGCTTTACAGAACATAATGTCAGCACTTCTATAATTTCACACCGGATGGACCATTTGTGGAACATCAATATAATAAAAATGATTTTGATTTGTTGCAATGCAACCAATGAACACATCTGAGGATGCATGATTATGGAAAAGGCCTTTCAGATGACTTGTGGCTATTTCCCTTTGATGGTATACCTGTTTATAAGATGGAAATAATTGCCCTTACCTTCTTCTCCAGTATTTCTAGTTGCTCTTTATAGAAGCTGGAGATGCTGGCCAGTTCCTTCTCCCTCGTCTCCAATTGTTTGGCCTGAGAAAGGGGAAGAAAGAGTAGAGGTAGAAAATAAGAAAATAAAGAAAGGCAAAGAAATAAACAACATAGCATTTATTTAACAGCTTTTATAGAGATTTTTGTTATATTGACATAGGAGAGTTTACTACACTCTCTGTAGGCCTGTGTAAATATTCAACTCATACTGCTTGGTACAAAAGAACGAGAAGAAAATCAATCCAGGTACAAATTAAAATTTTGCATTTGACAATTTTTAAATTCACACAGTCACTAAGTGGGTAAAAGGATGCTAAATGTAATAGGCTAAACTATTCATTGCTTTTGCTCATGAGCATGGCACACACATGGGACACTAGGGAGAAGAAACAAAGCAACCTGTTGCTTTTACTGACCAGTAAAACAGTGGTTTCTGATAAATTGAAAAATATAGCCTAAAAGACTCAATTCTGAATGCAAATCTCACTTATAATATATTAGATAAATCGGTTCTGCAGCAGCAAGCAAACAAAACATAAATTAGGCTCTTAAAAATGGTAAAAATAATTATATACAGACATACAGTGTGTGGTTATAGCATTAAATTGCAGGCTAATGTTTTTTCAATGCATTATTTTCCATTTTAATCATGTGTTACCTCATAAATCCACTACTCTATACTGTAGATATATCACACATCTATGATGCTTGATGGAAATCTATGATATGAAAAGTGCATCATATCTACACCAAAAAGTAAAACACAAAATAATGGCTATTTAATAGCGGGTCCATCTAATGTAAAGAACTTACAAAACTACTCAGGTGGCATGGGACTGGCACAGCAGCGACAGGGGCTGATATGATGAAGCTGGTGTTAAGATGAGCTGAAACGCTTTAAATGCCCGCCGAGCCAAGCTTTGACAGACAGCAAGATGGCAGATTGGCTGTAGGAAGACCCATAGTTGGGCCATGGCCATAGCAGCATGCAAGCAGAGGAAGATAGGAGGCAGACGCAAAAAAGATTCACTGTGAAAACAAGTTGCCATTTCAGCTTGAAGTCAGAAATGTTCATGCACTAGGGGTGTTAAATAAAAGATTTTACATTTTTGAGGAAAGATTCACTAGAGACTGTAACATGAGTTTCACCATAGGGCTACCTTGTTTTAACAGCATGAGGCTTCACAGTGTGCCAATATCAGAACACAATTTCATAAAGTGGAATGTAAAAGGATTCCTTTATGATAAATACGAATTAAAAAAAACTCAGAGAACAGACACAGGCAGTAATGAAGAGCTATTGCAGAGCTGCAAAAAGAAAAGGAGTCAAAGGAGATGTGCATGATCCAAAATGGGGAGCATTGTCAAGACATCTGTGTAGGTGACTGACAAGCAATGTACTGCCATGTGCTCCATGTTTTCACTCACTGTGCATTACTAATCCATCTATGCATCTCATTTTAGATTACTCAGTCTTATTACTTACAATATCACAATGATGATTTTCTCTTGGAACATAAAAGCAATGATCACATGGACAGACAGAGATGTATTATGCGATAAGGCATGGTGCGGTACCTTTATATGAAAACATAATATCTAATCTATTTTCAGAAAACATACCATACTGTGTTTATATTGACACTACAAAACATGCAACTTGGTTTAGATCGTGTTTACATGCATCTGTCAGAAGTTTGGTCACACTGTGGAGGGAATGCAGCGGATCAAAGAAGGACCTCAACAGTTGTAAAATCACATATTACAGCTAAAATGCATAAGATAAACATGATACAATTAAGATAAAATAAAATGATAGGCAACATACACATGGTATACACAGGATGGTTGATGGTTGAACATATTTTCTCTGTAGAGGGTTACATATGTGTGCATGTATATTCAAATGACTATTAATCAGTGCTGTAATACCCATAAACACACATTGTTTCTAACCAATAAGGGTAATGAGTGAAGCAGTGCTACAACAGTATGAACATGCTATGGTGCATGAACACAAAGAAGCTGGCTGGGAGTGAGGCAGCAAAAGGCAGCAATGTGGCATGCATTTATGTAGCATTGAAAAAGAAAGTCTGTATTACACACACACACACACACAGCGTTACACCATGGTGTAATGGTGACTGATTGCTGAACCCGAGTTGTGCAATACTGACTGTGATAAAGAACAGATGGAACAACAGTATCTTCTCTGGGTGATTTTCTTTGCTCTTTGCTGATATGGTGAATACAGGCGTGCAGACGCACACACACAGACACTTACACACAGATTGACATTACATTTATTGTAATCCAATCTAATCTTATCCTAACTTAACAGGCATATGCATCCCCAAAGACTCCATCTGCAAATCCCTATACTGTACTCACTGCACTTTTTCTTTCTACAGCGGCTGTTTGATGCTTAAGGGCTGTGTGTGTATATGTGTTTGTGTGTAAAATCACCTCTGCTAGCAGCACAGATGATGTGTAATTTTCTAGCTGAATACCTCCCAAAGTGTTGTTGTGTGGAATGGTGGCGGCAGCACACTCACAGCCTCGCTTTAATACACAATGAAAACATGACATTTGAATAGAGAAGAGAGAAAGAGAGAGAGAAAGGAAGAGAAAACCGAGTTTAGAAAAAGGAGGCGCCAGCAATGGTAGTGTTGCTTACCCAGGCATCCAAATCTGCTGGCTAGGAGAGAGGGGGAAAACGGGTTAGTGAGCGGTAGAGGATGTGAGGAAGGCACAGGGTGGGACGAGATGGCGATCGAGACAAAGAGGAGAAAGCAGGGAAGACAGGTACAATAACGAAAATAAAAAAGGGAGTTGAAGATAAATGAAAAGAGATAACTGGAGAAGAAATGAGTGAGAAAAGGGAACAAGGTTAGCACAACCAGTTAAAAAGTCTTATCAAGACTATTATGTGCAGCGACTTTAGAAAATCTAATTTACCAGATGTCTGATGTTGTGAGGGATGTAATTGTGCCCTCCAGCAGTTTCATAATGCATCCAACATGTCCCAACATGCATTGTGTGACCAACTAACTTACTAGTTTGCCAAGGTAATTAAACAACATATGAAATTCTACTCATTAATCTTAACATTAGTCATCCTGGTGGCGCGGACAGCTAAATTGTTTCCCACATAGTCAAGATGTTGTAGTTCTGAGTCTGGCACATAATCCTTACTGCATGTCAGCTGTCCATCTACACCCCCTGCCCTGTCTACCCATCTGTCTTGCTTCTCTTCACTGCCTTGAACTGAAAGTAGTTTCCTGATTCTCTTTTAGAAAACAGTATTTGTAAAACATATTGACATGTACTGACACATGCTGAATTATATCCTGAGAAGATTTAGTCATAATTTCCAGACTTTAGAGACAGGAAATTCAGGTAATAAAGTTAAGAAGTGAAGATGAAAATAAGCATGTAATAGTAGCCGATATTTGAGTCTTTAAATGAGTAGCAGATACAGCCAGTTTTGGTTCCATTGACCACCTGGCTAAAAAGCTACAGCTGAAAAGTCACTGAGCGTTTACCTTGTATAGGAAGAAAAGGCACAAGTCTCAAGACCATTGGTGCTTGTATGCCACAGACTGTGTCCTTACATATGGCCAGACAACAAATTCATTCTGTTTTCAAATTACTGTTAAGTGCATCTTCAAATTAAAGTATCGCTTTCATAAGAATACAGACGCAATGAAAACCAAACACAGTTTTGAAATGTATTTATTTCAATGTGTAGTTTTACTTTAGGAATGAGGCTTAATTTTCAGCTTGCACATTAATATTTAAAAGACAATTATGTTGTGCAGTTGTGAGTTTATTGTCTATTTTACTACGGCTCTTAGTGGGACTTCACCATCAGAACTGAGAGCTAACAGCTCACTGTCTGTTTCTTTATAATAACTCATAGACCTGCGTGTGTATTTATGAGTCTTGAATGCAGTCATAAAATATTATACAGCGTGACAGCATATGCTAGACTACTATATGTTACCACACTACTGCCATTAAATCAAATAATGTTCAGTTAACGTATATGACACAGAGACACACAGGACACCCTATGTGTGTGTGTGTGTGTTTGCCCACTCAAACCAAGTGCTCCCAGTCCAGCATTAGCCACAGAACAGAAAGGGATAGATTAGAGCAGTGGGTGGCTCTAATGTTGCCATGCCTCATAAAAACACCATTCAGTTAAATGAGGTGAACTCACAAAGCCAGTTGCTGCAGAATGCGTGTGTGTTGGGTAATCTGTGTAACGGATACAGCCGATGCCATCTGTTTAACCTCCTTGCTCTTCGGTGGCAGTCCCTAAACTGAATATGTGTCTGAGTGTGACCGTGTGTGTGTTTGCGTGTGTATGTGGACCCCCACAGAGTGCTCATGGGAGTGTGGAGTTCCCATTTCCATAGATGATAGACTTTAGAAGAGAGATGAAGGGGCCTGTTGTACGACACACAAACACACACATCCAAGCAGTTTGGTGCAGTCCATGGGCCGTAGCGGACAATGGCATTTCAGGTACATCCACACGTTGTTTTTTGCAGCTCTGAGCTCCCTGGTGACCCACAGTCAGCAACCTCAGCCTGAACATTAAGAGTCTGGATCAACTGAGCAAGCAAAAACATGGCCAGGAAAGCATTCCAAACAGACTGAGGCTCATATATCCCCCAAGATTTCTGCCCAAGATAAAGCTCGTAAATGTAGAATTAATGCATTATCAATCAAGTTAATTGTGATCTCTCAGTAAACATAAAGATGACCCTGGACTAACTGGCTTATAGGCTTGCAAAAATACACATATCAGGACACCTTAAAAGAAGATCAGCAGTTTAGGCATATCTAAAAAAAATAAAATAAGTGTGTGCATATATTAAACTTCTGTTGATATTGGACCTAGCAGTACTTAATAACCTCTATTTTCATCACTTCATAGTCTAAGATATACAGTAAAGACTCCTCCTACAACAGCCAGTATGCTTCTTCGGAAGTGCTCATCAGATGGTTGAATAGCTCCGACCGCTTCTGTAACTTTCCAAAACGGACAATCTGACATTCACACCCATTTACTGCTGTGATTGGTCAGCTGTTCGGAGATGAGAAAGGGTTTGAAGTCTCTA